GTGATCACATTTTTTGTGCAAGCATAGAGGCCTACTGTGTAAGAGTCTGTTGGACTGCATGGACTACCAGATATTTCAGAAGCATAAGGAAAGATGCCCTTCCTGTGCCTCTGTAGCTTCCCCAGCCCTGGTGTGAGTTAGCCCATGGTGGTGCTCACGTGAGACAGTTTCAGAATGTTTCTTGAGACAGAACCTTATACAAGTGGCTCAGACCATGGTAATAGATTGAGCCACTGGTCATGTCCAGTGGTAATGGTGCACAGACCAGCATATTCTTGGGCAAGCCTGATGTTTCAGAAAGTCTTTCAATGTACTTTCAAGATAGTACAATTATTTGCCTTGATTCCGTGAGTACCAGATATTCAATTCACTTCTTCCATGGGTTTTTCTGTGTGATCATGTAAGTCACTTGACAGGTAATAGAGTCGCTTTGTAGAGAGAATAGTGTCATCCTACCCCAGGATGTACAAAAGTTAATGCATGTAATCTGTGCATATCTCCTCTTGCATGGGAAAGGAAAACTGAGGTTGTATATAATAATACAAAAGTGATAATCTGCTGACTTGAGATAGAGTTTATCCTGGATTATCTCAGTGGATTTTGTAAAGCCTCTAGAGCCGCAGTGCATAGGAAACAGAGGTAAAAAGGTAAGTCTGAGTGACAGAATTTGAGAAATGCCAGACCTGTCATTGTTTGCTGAGAAGACAGGGAAGAAATCAAGAACCAAGGAATGCAGACTTATCCTAGGGCTGGAAAAACTCAAGGAAGTGCATTGTGACTTATACCTTCAAGACAAGGACTCAACTGCCAAAATCTTGATGTTTAACCCACCTAAACTTTTGTGGGTCATAGTAATAAGCACAAGATGGTGTAAGTCCTCAAATTTTTTTAACAACTGAGTATGGTGTAGCATGCTGTGGACTGCAGTAGCTGCTGGTGGAGATTAGCAACACAGGGTTCAAGATCTCCATTCTACTTCTGCCCTCAAAGATGAAATATTCTGTCTCTGGTAATAGGTATTTTATCTCCCTTCAGTCTATCTCCCTGAGTTCCAACCCCATTCATTTTTAGCTGAACCTCTTAATATTTCAGTAGTTGTCATTTATTAAGCAACTCTTCTCTGTGATTTCAAAGACAGATTTTTCAGGCTGGGGTATTATGTTTGAAATGGCAGACACACACTGCTTCATCCTTTTACGATGATGCAGACCATCAGTTCTATGGAGAGGAGATAAGTCACTGTTATTAGAATCTTACTAGTGTTTCTCTCTGCCTTCTGGGCTCTAAAAAGGCTGACACTTATCTATCTGATTTAAAGTTCATAAATTAATTCTTACTACTCTCATATCCCTTTTAAGTATATTCTAGTTAGGATAAAAACAAAGACATAAAGGCGGGCTTTTTATTTAACAAGACCAAACATCTAGTAAAACCTATTATTTTTATTCCAGGCTTGCAATTTACTTAGTGCAGTTAACCTTTAAGCATGTATGGAATATACATATGCAGGATATCCAGTAAAATGAATGATTTCTTGTGTTTAATGTATGGCATTTAAATGCTCCCTTATTGCACTATTTATAAAACTGTTTTATAGAACACTAAAAAGTATGGAGCTCTTTAAAAATGTTAATCCCATAATTAATAGTCAGAGGCGAATGCTTTTCCCCAGCACAAGGCACTGATATTCTAAATCTGTCACTCTGAACTTTACAGTAGCAGACAGCCATCTGTTTGCATATGGCCATATAAAACAACGCAGGAATGTATGCTCTTATGTTGCCTCTGGTGAGACACAGAATCATTATAATAAAGTAGACAATGAGGTTTAGCTAATATGAATTAAGATAACATGTGTTGAGAAAAAAGGAACATATTAAATCAAACTAATTCTATAATCAATGCTAGCAGGCGATTGGATATAGATGATTTGATAAAGCAGAGCATATGATGTAATGCCCAGGAGAGATGGGACACATGTGTATGGATGATCCATGACGGAGGTCTATAATCCTTAAACTACTTTCTCTGTGTTCCTAAATTTAGTGCAATTTTAGGCCTGTCTGTACTTTAATTTACACCTCCATTTTTCTGTGAAACACCAACGCTGCTAAAATAAAATACTTTTGCATTATTTCACAGGTTCAGAATATTAACTTGAAGTAAAAAGGAGCAAGAGTTGTGAAGGAAAATCAATTTCCAACCTATCTTTACATCTAGATGTCTAGGCAGTTATATATATTTCAGAAGGTCATGTTCTTTCATCAGTTATGTCTAGACTTTTGTGAAACCCAAATATTCTTAAACCTACCTCTTAAATTTTGGTTTAACTGAACTAATACAGAAAGATGATATCACTCAGATATAATTTTGATTCCTGTGTGTTTTTTTTTTACCTTAAATTTAGATGTATCATTGTAATATATTCTTCATTAAAATTTTAACAGGTCAACATTTTCTTTGGTTTCATAACTTTTGAAACTTTACTTTTCAGGAAAACTTTCTTTTCTCTCTGAAATAAGATGCTTTTTATAAATCAATGAAAAAAGTAAGACAATTTCAGAATTGAAAGTCATGCCATCACATTAAATTTGATTTTCTAGCTAGTGTAGCAATATAACATGATGGTTAAATGTGAAGTCTGGAGTCAGCCAAGATTACTCTAATCTCATTTCTACTATGTACGAGCTGTGTGACCTTGAGTGAGTAATTTAACAATTCTCAGCCTTAGATCGCTCATTTGTAAATGGTAGTAATTTAGACAGCCTACCTCAGCTAGGTTATTCTGAGGGTTAAGCTTCAATAAGAGGCATAAGGCATACAGTACAGTGTATGGTCAATCAGAACTCCCACTGAGATATTAAGCAAATATCCTTCTTGAAGGAGAGGCTCACAGACAGTAGTTCTCCCATACCCCTGATCCACAGAGACTGCTTCCAAGACCATCATTATATGCATAAAAGCGCAAATGAATCCAATCTTCCAAAAAAACTAGAGTTTTTTTCTTATATGTAAACCTGAATAGTAAAGTTTAATTTGTAAATTATGTACAATAAAAGTAAAACAATAACTTAAATGCAGAACAGTAGCAACACTATAGTTAATAAAAGTGTCTGTCTTTTTGTCTTCCAAACAAATAAATGATACATTTTAAAGCAAATCTGAAAAGTTGTAGCACCTGGCTCGCCTGAATCATGCCATAAAGCATTACATCATGGTAGCAGATTATGGAATCAAGGAATTCATACAACAGTCAACATCTATCAGTCTGTACTTTAAGCTACATACCAATAAAAATTAAATTTGGTCATTGAGTTAAATATACAAACTTACTCTTGGCTTTCTTTAAAACTGAACAAATAAAAATAAAGGTAATTTCTTCAAATTAAAGAGGCTTAACAATGGCTAAAAATGTCATTTTGACATGTAGGAATGGTATTTCTTACTGTAATGATGCATATCAAACTATGCTCTAGAGATACATGATTCTGAAAAATTTAAACATAAACAAGGAAAAAAATCAGATAATACTGAACAACCTAGAGTGTAAAAACACTACTAACGATGTAGACAGGAAGGTAGCTAACAATGGGGCTATGAGGTTCTCAATAGCTTTCTATAGCTTCATCTACAGATCCTGCCTGCACTAGTCCAACTCCAACCCTCCCATTCCCTCATTTTTACATCACCCAAATCACAACATCTTTCTAGGCAGTGGAAATCAGCAACTTAGAATAGGCACTGTCTAAAAATATCCAATATCACACACACACACACACACACACACACACACACACACACACACACACACACACACACACACAAATATAGCTGTGTCTGCAATGGACTTTTTAGTTAACCATATGGTTTTTTGGATGAAATTGCCATGGCCAACACTCCCCCCTTTTCACCATTTTCAGCCATAATGCTTCAGAGATTTTCCAAAAACAGCAAGGATAGGCAGAGCTTAAATATATGTGTAAATACACTTCTGCCTTGACTATCCAATTAAGCCCCATCTTATGCATCACTCCCTATACTTGCTGAGTACAACTTTTTATTGAGCAAGCCTCCACTTCATCCTGAGTGGGTAGGTTGCTGGTGCTCACTTTTCTGCTCTCTGTACCAACCATTGTCCCTGATTTTCTTTTCTTCTTTGTTTGAAAGGCAGAGTAACAAGATACACATACATGCAGAAAATGATAGGAAGAGAAAGAGAGAAGGGAGGAGCAAGAAGGAGAAAGAGAGAGAAGGGAGATAGAAGGGAGAGAAAAGGAGGAGAAATTATTGCCTTTCATTTGTTGGTTCACTAACTCAATGTCAGGATGAAGCCAGGAGCCTTGAACTTCATCCAAATTCTGAAGTGGATACTTGAGACACAAACTCTAGAGTTATCAGCTGATGCTTCCCAGGATCAGATTACTACGAAGCAAAATCAAAAGCAGGGTGCCTGGAACTGCAACCAGACATTTTGAAATGGCTTTTAGGAATCCCACATGGAAACTTAACCCTGCAACATCACCATTTTGGTTTTTTTTTTTTTTTGGCCTATCTATTTAGTTTCATTTGCTTAAAAAGAAAGAGAAAGAGAGAATTATATCATTTATAAAATAGCTGAAATATGGGAATATATAAAAAATGTAGCAATTTCATTGTGAATCAATACCCCTAAGTAGCTCTAGACCTTAATTATAGAAACCACTGAGGATTCCTCATTACTTAGAACTATTCTGATAACACTACATTTGGATTTCAACTCCCATTTTATGTGGTGCTTGGAAACTTATAGTGAATAGCATTCCTAATGTCAAAAGCAAAATATTAGGTTTGTTTCTATAGTAGTGAACTTAAAGGGTTCTGACTTCATTTTAAAATGAAATTGTACAGATGTTTCTTGTTTATGCTATTATTCATCAGTATGTGCACAATATGTTTCAAATCTCTTCTACTCTCTGGAGAAGTTATAAAACAAAATAAAGAGGATAATGAAGATTGATTACCTTTTTCACAGAAGTCGCCTGTGAAACGTAGTGGACAGTCACACTGGAACGAAGGGCTGCCACTGGAGAGTGGGATGGGCCTGCAAGTGCCTCCATTGTGGCATGTTTCCTCTTGGCAGACAGATGTCACTGCAGCAGAGGGGCCTAAAGAAGTCCACTCAGAGTCATTCCCCTGTGTTACACCAGAAGGTACAGTGAAGGAGGCGGCTGGAGACAGGACAGAATCCTGGGACCTGTAATTTAAAAATAGGCCAAAAGATATTGAAAGCAGTAAGAACAATAGATAAATTGGTTTAAAATAGGAGGAAGTAGTAATAATAATCATAACAATGAAAAACCGATGATCCAAGGTTGAATTAAGAAAAAATATCATTGCTAAATTTGCTTCACAATTGTGGGTTTTGTCAGTAATGAAAATTCTGAGCCACATAATAGGAATCTGGGCAAATAATGGAATTATCACTAATCCTTGATACCTACAACAGGAAAGTGGAGTAATTTGATTTCACAGTTGATTTGAAGAATTAGAATTTTGACCTAACATAGTCTTCTATTTATTATTCCAAATTTTAATGAGCCTTAAATCAAGAAAGCGAATCAATTCATGTTGCATTTTGTTGCTTATTTTTTTCAACCTGAATTATTTCTAGCTTGACTGTGAGGTATGCTTTCTTCAATTTTGCATTCAATTTAAGGAATTATCCAAGTACTACCTTAGAAATAATAAAATATTTATTACTTATTTGTTTCATTTAAAAGGCAGATTTTTAAATTAATAAATCTCCATCGCCCACACTGACATCCCCCCTGTCATTACAATAGTATAGTCTTTCAGAATCAGTCATAAGTCCATCATTCTGCTACTTAAGTGTATCCTGACATTGTAGGCTTGCACAATGGCAGGAAGTACAGCATCCTATTGTCAAAGATACACTCAACAGTTTCATGGGGAGTCCATCTTTGATTTCTAAGTGGAGACGCACACTGCATTGCATTTGGATATGAGAGTCTCTAGTGCACAGTTACTATACATCCCTTTCAATGAAAAGCCATAAAACAAAATCAACAACTGAGAGAATAGAAAATTTACAACAACATGAAGTTAAATAACGTTACTAAATGACCAATGTATTGATGAAGAAATGCAAAAAATAATCAAAGACGTTCTTGAAGCAAATGATGCTACTCTGTGACCTATGAGTCTATAAGGAGATTAATAAGGAGAACAAAAACATTTTTGAATACATGAAAATAAAAACAAAAGCATCAATCCCCCCTGTGATGTACCAAAAAGAGTATTGAAAAGACTACTGATCTTTTATTATGCATGGATGTTATTTCATATCAGAGCCAATATATTTGTCCTTTTGTAATGTATTTATTCCATGGAGCATAATAGTCTCTAGATGAAACCATTTGGTTGCAAATGGTAGAATTTCATTCTTTCAAATGGCTGATGTACCACTATTTCTTTACCCACTCCACTTTGGACGGGCATCTGGGTTGTTTTTGTGTCTTTGCTACTGTATATTGTGCTGTTGTAAAAGAAGGATCAAAAATCCCTTTCTCGGGCCCGGCGTGGTGGCGCAAGTGGTTAAGGTCCTCGCCTTGCACACCCGGGATCCTATATGGGCGCCGGTTCTAGCCCGGCAGCCCCGCTTCCCTTCCAGCTCCCTGCCTGTGGCCCGGGAAAGCAGCAGAGGACAGCCCAAAGCTTTGGGACCCTGCACCCGCGTAGGACACTCCAAAGAGGCTCCTGGCTTCGGATCGGATCGGCATAGCATCGGCCGTTGAGCTCACTTGGGGAGTGAATCATTGGACGGAAGATCTTCCTCTCTGTCTCTCCTCTCTGTATATCCGCCTTTCCAATAAAAAAATAATACAAATAAATATTAAAAAAATCCCTTTCTCATGCGCAGATTTCATTTCTTTCTGATATATTCCCAGCAGTTGGATAGTTGGATAGCTGGATCATAAGGCAGCTCAATTTTCAGTTCTTTTAGAACTCTTCACATTGACTTCCCAAGTGGTTGTACTAGCCTACACTCCCTGCAACAGTGAAGGAGGGTATTGTTCTCTCCACATCCACGCCAGTAGGTGTTGTCAGTAGAGTTGTGAATGCAGGCCACTGTCACTGGATATAGGTGGAGCTTCAATGTGGTTTTTATTTGTATGTTTCTGACAGCTAGGGAGCCTGAGGATTTTTTCATATGTCTATTAGCCATTTGAATTTGTTCTTTTGAAAAATGTGTGTTCATTTCCTTTGCCCATTTCTTCACATTTTCATATATATATATGAGAGAGAGAGGGAGAGTCAGGTCTTTCATCCACTGGTTCTCTCCACAAAGGCTGCAATGATTGGAGCTGAGCAACTTGTAAGCTAGGAGTCTTTTTCCCAGTCTCCCACCTAGGTGCAGGTGCCCACAATCTTGAACCATCCTCTGCTGCTTTCCCAGATCATAAACAGGGAGCTGGATCAGAAGTGGAGTAGCCAGGAATCACACCAGCACTCATATGAGATGCCAGCACTGCTGGCAGAGGGTTAGTGTGCAAAGGCATTATGCTAACCCCAAATAATAGAATTTGTTTTACTCATTTTACTGCCAGTTATGTTTGCTGATGAATAATGAACAACAAATTCCCTCTGAAATACACTGAAGTTATTTTCTCATTTATAACCTCTTAACAATCTAATTTTATTTTTCTCTTAGTCTATTTTATTATGAGATTCCTTGTAAGTACCTTAAATTAACTCAATCCAAATAAAATTACTATTCTTTAAAGGCCTGGAACTGACTGAACGTGGGTAGTTAGTCCCAACTCCTTTCTCTCTCTTAATTTCACATATAGTTCCAGTTGCACACCTGGATTATTTCCTCCACATAGCCTTCCTGGTTGCCACTGGTTCACCAAGATATAAGCAATGTTTTCCTCATTGCTAGGAAAATCTTTAGATTCCCGCTGTCCCATTACTAGACTGTCCAACATGTGTGTGTAACATACTTCCTTTATTTGCAGACTTTGTTATTAAGCTGTGGTCACTGTCTGCCCTCCCTCCACTCACAGGTTTTTCATTTTTGCAGATATTCTTATTCATGACAATAAAAAACTTCTAAATATTTGTTAAATTAATGTCTTAAGTGCACTCATGAGTACTCTGTATATTTGTGAAGCAGGGTTTTTGGTATTTTCACTCAATATTTTCCCAAGAGATATCTTTCCACATAACATTTTTTTACTGTAGCAAAATAATCAATAATTAAAGTGCATTTTATTTAATATGGTATTATAATGATGAAACTTCAGAAACATAAGTCATTTCAAAAATTTCTTCTAAATAACATTAAAACTTGAAACAGCTATTGTCACCTTAACAAAATAAAAAAAAACCTGAAGAAGATGAAATAAAAAGCAAATTATGAAACCGTTTTATTCATGTTACTGTGCAGGTCAGTTCTTTTGTTTTACAATCCTTTTACAACCTGAAATTCTTTATGGCATTCACCTCAGGTTGTAACAATTTATTTATTTTTATGGCTGGACCTGACCCTATTTTTTTTTTTCTAGATTGCAACCTTTATGGAGGACAGAAAATATCCTGTGCCCTAGTCTTCATCTTATTCCTCAAAACAATACTTGACCTCTAGAAGATCCTCCAATAAATTTTTTGTCTGTGATTTTGGATCATTTCTGCAAATACTCAATGCATTTCTTGATGAAAAAAAGGAAAATAACAAATGAGAAATAATGTCATAGATAATTTCATGATTGCTTTATAATATAATTTTGATGCCATTCTATAATGCAACCTCTTCTTTTTTTTGTTTTATTACATTAATATACTTCTTACATTTGTATTCACAATTTAAGTTTAATCTGTTAAAGTAGCTTTCCTCAAGTCAAATGGTAATGCTGACCTGAATTACACGAGATTTATTATACTTTATTCCATATTGCAATGGTTTCACAAATTCTTAATGGTTTCACAAATTCATTTAACACTTGCCATGGACTTCATGTCCTGCAGTCAATCGCCACTTTCTAAGGAATAAATTAGTATTAACTGTCACTATTTTTTCTTTTTGCTGTATCTGTTCAGGGAGCCTAATTCTCACCTGAGAGCATCACGTTACACAGTTCGGTTGTTAACTGATTACGCAAAGATAATTGCTATTAACTGGTCCGTCAATTAAAACATTGGGATCAAAAACCAAATTCCAAAGGCAACTTAAGTCAGATACACTTTATGTTACAAAGATTATATTTTATCTATTGTGACATGAATAATAATTTGTAGTTAGTGATTTTCTTTTTGTACATAAGTAATGTCACGCTATTTATTTTACTTGTTTATATTTTGCAAAATATTTGCTTCTTTTCACCTCATTGAAAGGTACAGAAGTAGAGAGAGAGGTTCTATCTAGCACTTCATCCTTCAAATGTCCACAATGGCCCCTCACAACACCATCTGGAGCCCAGCTCAATGGTTTGGTAATTAAAATCATTGCTTTCCTTGTGCCAGGATCCCATGTGGACCCCAATTCCTGTCCTGGCTGCCCTGCTTCCCATCCAGCTCCCTGCTTGTGCTCTGAGAAAGCAGTACAGGATGGCCTAGAACTATAGGACCCTGCACCAGCATGGGAGATCTGGAGGATGCACCTGGCTCCTGGCTTCAAATCGGCTCAACTCTGGCCATTGTGGCCACTTGGGGAGTGAACTAGTGGATGGAAAAATCTTTCTTCCTCTTTCTCCTTCTCTCTGTATATCTTCCTTCCCGATAAAAATATATAATAGTGAAACAAAACAAACAAACAAAACACAAAAACAGAACTCCATCTTGGTAGTTCACATTGACGGCAGGGACCCTACACTTAAGCCATAATCTGCTGATTTCCAGGAAACACCTACAAAAACCTAGATGAGAATAGGAATCAGGACTCCAACAGGTAGCACTGATATGGGATACGGGTTAATGGTGTCTTAACCCCTATGCCAAAGGAAATAAATAACATGTATTTAATTGCCATGAACATAAAATCTATTGTTATTGTCAGGTTGTCACTTATTTTTTACACAAATATAGCATAATTAAATGATGGTCCTAGTAAGGTAATTAGCTCTATAAAAAAGGAACATTAAATTTATAAATCCTTTTTTATTTTTTAGAAATTAGAAATGTATTTGAGTGAAACATAAATGATACCATGGAATTTTCAAACACGTTTAATAAACA